CATTCCCAGGTTCTAGGCTTGATCCCTGGTAGGGGCTGTGTGGGAGGCAGCCGATCAGTGATTCTCTCTCATCGTTGATGTTTCTATCTTTCCCTCTCGCTTTTTTTTCTGAAATCAATAAAAATACATATATATATATGTGTATGTGTGTGTGTGTGTATGTATATATATATATATAAATATATATTCTATATAATAAAAGGCTAAAATGCAAATAGACCGAACAGCAGAACAACCAGAATAATCCAACAACTGGTTGCTATGATGTGCACTGACCACCAGGGGGCATGTGCAGAACATGGCAGGTGTTGGCCATGGTGGGATGGTGAAGCAGGTGGGGGGGAGCAGCCAGACCAAGGTGGGCCGCCGTTTGCTGTCACTGGGGCGAGCCTCTGGTGGTTACTGAAAATTCTTTGCTCCTGCGTGCTGTGATCCCGCCCAGCGCTCGCACCTGCTGCTGGCGCTGGCCCCCCTTGCACCCAAAGCCGGTGCCGGGCACTGGTCCTGATCACTTGGCACTATCAGTGGGTGTGAGTGGTGGCTCCCGGCCCTGATTGCCCCTGAGGGCTTCTCCACCTCCCCCTGCTCCTGAGGGGCAATTGAGGCAGCAGCTGTGGCTCACACCCATTAACGGCACTGGCCCCATTTGCACCTGCTTCTGGCACCGGCCTCAATCGCTCCAGGCTGTCATCGGGTGCAAGTGGGGCCAGCGCTATCAGTACGTGGGAGCGGTGGAGGTGGGAGCGGGGCTGCAAGCAAACAGGAGACTGGGGGCCGAGGTGGGAGAGGCTGGGCAGAGGCACCGAGGAAGTGGTTGTTATGTAACGACCAACCGCGTTATGACCGGATCACAGATTAGCAGGAGGGTGGGGTAGCGAGCTACAAGCAGGTGGCAGAGAGCTACAGGGGGGTGGCAGCGAGCTACTGGCACACGGATTCATGCGCAGGGCTACTAGTATATATATAAAAGATATGTTGAAGACCTAATCCCCGATACCTGTAAATGTGACCGTACTTAGCAATAGGGTCTTTGTAGGTGTAATTAAGATGTACGTTAAGATCAAGTCATACTAGAGTAGAAGTGGGCCCTTAGTCCAACATGACTGGTGTCCTTATAAGAAGAGAAGAAACAGAGACAGACACACACTGAGAAGGCGGCCATGTGACAGAGGCAGAGACTGGATTTAGGCAGCTGCAAACCAAGGATTACTGCCAAGGACTGTTGGCCACCACTGGATGCTGGGAGAGAGGCAAGGAACAGATTGTTCTGAACACACAAGAAGAAACCCACCCGTGATTTTGGAACCAAGCCAACCTCTGGATTTTGGAATTCTAGACCTGTGAGAGAATACATCCTGTTGTGTTACGCCACCCAGCTGGTGATAATGTTACGGCAGCCCTAGGAAACGAATGCAGTGGCAGGTAGCCCTGAAATTCTACCCTAAGCCAATGATGTTTGTATTTAGCATGTTGAGCCAAGTTATAAGAAGTACTTATTATTTTTCCCTTTATTGATTAAGATCTTACAAATGTGTCCTTATTCCCCCATTCTCCCCCATCCCCCCACTCATGCTCTCATCCCCAGTGTCTGTATCCATTGGTTATGCTTATATGCATGCATACAAATCCTTTGGTTGATCTCTCCCCCTTAGCCCCACCCTCCCCTGCCTTCCCTCTGAGGTTTGAGCATCTGATAGATGCTTCTCTTTCTCTAGATCTATTTTTGTTCATCGGTTTATATTGTTCATTATAATCCACAAATAATGAGTCACTTCCAAAAGCCGCAGCCTAGGCCCCAGCTCTGCTGACAAATGATTTAAGTATTCTGGTCTCCATTTAAAAAATTCTGAAAAAGGGGAATTCAAATAAGATTTTATATAAAGACAATTTCCATGTCATAAAACACTGTTACTTTTTTTTTTTTTTTTACGATAGAGGGAAGAGAAATCAACTACTAAAAACATCTGACTTAAGGAAAGACAAATGTATTGATGAAAATAAAATGCACTAAAAGGTAATTAGAAAGAGAATAAAAGACAATAAAGGGTAACAAAAAGAATAAGTTATCATACCCACAAAGATCAGATTCACACTGAGTAATAAATTGTAAACTCCATGTACTTAGTCACATCTTCTTAAAATCTCTGCTTCTGTTTATTAAAAAAGTAATATTCACACTAGGAACAAAGGGGACTCCCCAACTCTGGTCCCCTCTGTGAATGTGACCTTACTTAGCAATAGGGTCTTTGTAGGTGTAATTAAGGCACCTGAAAGAGGGCGTCTATGAACAGCCACAGCTAACATCACACTGACTGTGAAAGACTGAATGCTTCCCCCAGATCAGAAACAAGCCAAACTTGTTCTGCAGGTTCTAGCTAGGGCAAATAGGCAGTAAGATGAAATAAAACAGTCTAGATTGGAAGGGAACAGGTAAAACTATCTCTATCTGCAGACGACATGACCTTGTAATAGAAAATCCTATCCCACTACATCCACTAAACAATGTCAGAACTAGTAACAAGGTGAGATAGCAAAGCTGCAGGACCACGAAGAGGCTTCCATCTGTCTCTGCCCAGCTCCGTCAGTCATCTCTCATCATTGTCTGCCTCGCATTTTACACCCAGCAATGCTGAGCTGTCCCTCTTTTGAACACAGGCCTGTACTTTCTTACCTCCGTGCCTGCGTCCATGCTGTTCCTTCGATCTGGGATGTCCTTCCCACAACCAGACCACACCTAATCCTATGGTTTAGTGACTTATTCTCTAAGGCCTGGTTTACTACCAAGTCACCTACTCCACTAATCCTAGTCTGGCCTAAATTACCTTCTCTGCGTTCCCATAATAGCCTGAGCATCTCTCTACCACTGTGCCTACCAAGTCATATTAAAATTCTCTTTGTAGCTCTGCCTCGAACAGACTGTCAAACTACAACAGGAAGGCCGGGGAGCGTGGGAGGGCAGGAGGGGGGTGGGTACTTTGTATTTGCCTCCTCCCCTAGCCTGTCCAATCTCTGGGGACAAGGGTCACTTTATCTTCTGTACCTAGCACAGAGCTGGCACACAGAACCCATCATCCTTCCTTCTACTCCCATCCATTCCTCAACCCATCAGAGCCTGGCTCCCCCTCAGTCCTCGGGGATCTCCTGCCAGCTCCTGGGACTTCCCACTGCACTGAACACCTGACCACACGCTGCTTCCCCAAACCCTGCTCTTTGGGTTTCCAGGCCTCCAATCTCCCCTATTTCTCTAATCACCTTCACAGCCTTCCTGCTGCCCTCCTCCAGCCCAGTGTAAGGTCACCCTGGGATCCTCTTCCATTCTCCAAGCATGAGCAT